TGAGGAAATGGATACAGCCGCAGAGAGAACGGCCTGCGCGCTCACCTTTAGGAGCTTATCATTTCCTTATCACTCATCCAATCATCATGATATTTGGCCGAAATACCCTCCAGAGTATGTAGTGTCGACCAGTTGTACTATTTTTCAATTTTTCCAAAAGTCATTTTTTCGAATTAATGCCGCCTAGATCGGGCTCTGGAACCAATGTGCGGCGTTCTTCCTTGAGGTCCAGTTACACGATCCAATTGAGCCATCAAATTGGACCTCTCGTTGGTCGCATTCTGAATTCGACCAATGAGAGGCCCAATTTGATGGCTCAATTTGATCGTGTAACTGGACCTTTGGCACGGTAATATTCTCTATAAGGTATAAACACGGGAAAAAGTATAATATATATCTACTACATTCCTGGTTGATTTTGGCACCAGCCAGAAAAAAGGCTGCCTTAGTTGGAGGTTTTGTTAGTTCAACCACGATTAAAGCTGGCTCAATCTTACTCCTGGTTGATGTAAATACAGTTCTAGTTGGCGCCAAAATCAGCAAAAAATGTAGTTGAACTTGCAATCATAATACTGTGTTTTCTCAAGTGTTAGTTTTAACACTAAATTTTGAAGTGTCAGGGGATGAAAAAAACATGAATTTTTGGAGTAAAAGGGTGTAGATTTTCCAGTTTTAGGTCCTAAAAATTCAAGGATTGCTATCTGAATATTAATTTTGATAGTATCGAGGTCAAACGTTCAATTGGCGCTCGGAATTGATTCAGTCTTTAGTTCAGAGCATGTACTCATATAATTTGTGCTTAACTATTAAAAATAATTCCAGGCAAAAATGACGCACTGGCTAGTTTAACTATGAATTACTAGGAGGTAGTGAGAGAAATTAAGTGTGTGGTCGATTCTAAAATTTGCCATCTGAAATTCTTGGGAACGGCTGGGGGGAGAAGGAGGAGGGGGAGGAGGGGGGAGGAAACGTTGGTCGGGAAAAATTTCGATTTTATCGAGTCATACCAGCTTTTGTGACGAAAATAAACAAAAGAATTTCGAGTGTACAGTTTTTTTTTTCTTTTTCGAAGAAATTCAATGAATCAGCGCAGTGGGAGGTATAGGGAGATGTCGAGATTTTCATTCCACGAATCCAACTATTATCTAAATGAATTCGATTATGTCAGCAATTTTTAATTTCACTCTCATCGCATAACTGATAAACGAAAGCACTATGTGAATGCTGTAATGAATTAACAAGTTGTTTGTAACAAATATATAGCTTACTAGTAAAATTGATCTCTGATGACTCTTATCTATCTATTAAATATTTTTAAACACTCTAGTTAACTTGAATGTTCGCTAACAAAATAAAGAGCTTATATATGCCACCCTTAATTAAAGAGAAAGAGAGAGTAAAGCTTTATTTTAAGAACTGTCAAATTATAATTCCTTTTGTAACAAGGCAATAGGTGCGGAAGTAGCTGATCTCAGAGAGGTGTTATCTTGGGGGTCGTTCATAAAATATGAAACACTTTGGAAGTTAGGAGGGGGGGGGTGGTAAAAATTATTTTTTGTGAGCCCTTCGTTTTTCTTACGAAGCGATTGCATCTTAAAGACCAGTATAATTTACTTTTAGTACAAACACGTTTTACTTCATCTGTCATACTGAGCAATAAATTTCCTCTAAAATTTGAGACTCACTTCCTTTTTTTCCAATATAATACAGGAAACAAATTATTAAATATAACACGGGACCTACGGAGCACATTCTTCATAAGTTATGAATAATGAGAGTGGGAAATAATTTATACAGATTGAAATGACCGGGGCTCTAGGATCGCATGACCCAGAATTCGCACACATGCAAAAAACAAAAGAAGGGAGCGATGAAGAAAATGCTTCGCAGTGCAGTTTTCTTTTTTTTTTGTTTCACGCTTATTTCAAGTAGATTTGCAGTATTCGCACTTATTGAAAACACGGTGGATTGTTTCAGAACAGGATGTTCCTGAAGTTTTTTGGAACTTCATACTTTCATTCTGTCCCTTTTTTCAATTTCATGCAACTTTTTTCAACCTAAAACTAGAATGTAGACATCGGTCTTCTTGAACGCATCACTTCTTTGAAGACAAGTCAAGATCCACCAAAATACAATACATTTGAAAGAACATTTGTAATTACGACCTTATTAAATCCATAGACATCCAATTAATCATCAATAATAATCTAAATCTAATTTTAGTTTCAATTTCATGCAGGCTATTTGAGCATTTCAGGGAGAGGGGGGGGGGGATAAGTGAGTTTTCTTAAATTTATATATTTTATCATGTGATGTTTTGCAGCATCCGAGTATACTCAAACGCCGTTCTTCCAATTTATTGGTCCTCTCAGCACAGCAGTATTACCGCAACTATATGAGATTGGAACAGTCTGTAGCATTCATGTGGCTCTGGTTGCATACTCCTTACTCTGCGGGGACAGCATGAACCTTAGAATACTGCCGTGCTGAGGAAAAACGCCGTGAGAAAATTCGAGACTTGCCAAAGTTCCTCCGATAAAATGTTTATTTTCGAAGAAAGTTGTAAATATTTTTCCTTGAAATTTTCAGGAACTTTTAGGATATATTGCGAACAAAATTATCTGAATAATTGGGAGGAAAATATTCATAAGTTTACCAGGAAATCCGCGTTTTATCAAAGAAAATTGGCAACGCCTGAAGGTCCATACGGCGTTTTTCTTTAGCACGCACAGTGGATCTAGTCAATCAGAGAGACTGGATATGCAGTTTTTGGCTGAAACAGCAAATTTTGATGTTTATCTCGTCGCATTTTCCATTTTAAGGGGCACTGCAAGTAGGAACTTTCACGAGAAAACCAATGGAACCACTTTCAGAACCTCAAAGTCTTGTATAAACTAAGTTAAAGCTTTTAAAGTTTCCATATTTTTTCCGACCTCTCCTATTGACTCGATCCACTGTGGCACGGCAGAATAGGTCCCGGTTGCCTATACGGAGCTTCAAAGGCGCCGTATCTTCCCCCGCCCCTTGCGCCGCACAGTGGATCGAGTCAATTAGAGAGGTCGGACATTGAATGTTTCACTAAAACTGCAAATTTTAATGTCTAATTTGTCATATTTTAAATTTAAAGGGGGGTTTTTAGAGGAGAATTTTACGAGGAAACCAATGAAACCACTTTTAGAACCTCTAAGTCTTGTATAAACGGAGTTATGAGCGTTTAAAGTTCCCAAATTTTGACCGACCTCTCCTATTGACTCGATGTGCGCCGGAATTTAATTTCATGACTCTTGATGTTAATTGGGTTGGGGTTTTGTGGTGTTGCAGAGGCATATGTCGCGGAGCGGCGGCGCGGAGGATGCTGTTGTTGATGGTGTTGGGGGCGTTCCTGGTGTTCACGCAGTACCATCTCTCGGTGCGATGGGTGGCGCAACCGCAGCAGGCCATGACGCTGGACCCGGACTCGGGGAGTCTCGACAACTTCCTCAGGGCTTCCGTCGCCAGGATCCAGTTCGATGATAATCTCATCTCTATCATAGGTTAGTATCCTTTACTCAAAATCAGCGATCGATCGATTATCGATGTTTCTCCATTTGAAGCTATGGTAAAGCGAATTTTTATTTGGAGGTTCGGTACTACTTTAGCGCCCGAACCTCTGAGCTACCATTTAAGGCCTTGTCTCCACGGGACGTTTTCCTGGGATTTGTCCCAAGTTCGAATTGCAGGAATGAAACTTCTGGGATTTTTCCCATTTACCGTCTCCACGGGACATGGGGCTCATACGGTCCTCGACCAGTTTGCGCGGTAAGATAAAGTTAAAGTCGAGTATTTAACCGGGATTAATATAATAATTGCACTCAATTGACTATTAGACATATTATTTTAACAAAACAAACATGAACAATGGAGTAATCAAAAAAATATCGCACAATGCGTTTTCACTTCTTTTTCCTCTCTCAGTGGGTCCTAGGGGTACAAGGACCAAACTTAGTACTGGGAAAAATATTGATTAACTCAATATTTTTCACAACTTCGTAAGTGGGATTTTCCCTGGGACAAATCCCGTGAAACGGCCTGTGGAGACAAGGCCTTATTTGAGTTCAGAACCTCAAATTCGGTGACCAGCGAATCGCAACGTCGTCGTGGAGTGGACCATTCCAGGGAGGGTGGCAAGCGTCAGGGAAAACCGGGAAAAGTCAGGGAATTCTGACCAACCGGGAAAAGTCAGGGAATAGTCAGGGAATTTTTGCGTATGAACATGAACAATTGCATACCGTGATGAGCGATGCGATACCGCGCTACGCCGCACATTGGTTCCCAGACCCGATCTAGGTGGCATTAATTCGAAAAAATGAATTTTGGAAAAATTAAAATTTCACACCACAGATTGATAGTGCACACTCTCGAGAGTAACTTGGCCAAATATCATGAAGATTGGATCACTAATAAGGAAATGATAAGCACCTAAAGGTGAGGCCGCGAGGTACTTTTGGGCGGACTCGCACCAGTTTTCAGTGTTTACTGTCAGGTCCTATGATTTGAAGTTCATCACACAGAAATAGATGCAAATGTGAAGTGTTCTGTTATGGTGTATCAAAAATATAAGGCATGTCAAAGGTTTATACGTTCTTACTATCTTTCAAAAACGTGTCTATACATCTAGACAAGCCATTAGACAAAGCGTTATTTTCTACTAATTCCAAGCAAATTTTTACAAAAATGGCTCTAGATGAATGTCTTGCGCCGGTTCGCACGCATACAGACCTACTGTAGTAGTTAGTACTAACCCTAAACTTGATTTTAGTGCAATAAAATTCTGCGCATACTTGCGTCCCTGGGGGTTAGGGCACTTTGAATTTCCAAAACCGGCTTTCAAGAAATAAAGAATTGACACACTAAGGAGCTTACTGCAGACCTCAGATCCTTGGGAATATGAATACTGCATTTTTTACAGGTCATGTGGGTTCTCAAGTCTTCATAATCGTTAAGATGATTATTTTTTACTTTGTCTATACCTCTAGAGAAGCCCATAGACTTACCACAGCTCCGGTTTTTTTACTGGAAATTTTACAATTATGACTCAAAATAAAGGCCCTGCGTGGGCTCGCACACGTGCAGACCGACTGTAGTAGTTAGTGCTGACCCTACACTTGATTTTGGAGCAAAAAAATTCTGCGCATACTTGCGTCCCTGGAGGTTAGCGCACTTTGAATTTCCAAAACCGGCCTTCGAGAAATGAAGAAAATTGACACACTGAGGAGCTTACTGCACTACTGCAGACTCCAGATCTTTGAGGACTGCATTCTATGCACATCACGTGAGTTCTCAAATCCTCACAATCATTGGGATGATTATTTTTCACCTTGTCTACACCTGTAGAGAAGCCCATAGACTAAAGACAGTTCCCGTTTTTTGACTAGAAATTTTACAATTATGGCTCCAATTACAGAACACGTGGGTTCTTAAATCCTCTCACTCGTTTAGATAATTGTTTTTCACATTGTCTGTACCTTTAGAGAGGCCCATAGACATAGCACTGTTCCACAGGAAAGGAGCTTACTGCACTCCTCGCGCATTATTCCGTGATTGTATGAGTAAATGTCCTCTAACTTAACAACGAGTGCTTATATTTCTTTCTTGGTTCATGATTTCTTCGTGTTTTTATTCTCTCAGGTTTGTAAGACTCTGAAATCATCGCAAGCTCTAAACTTTGTTTAAAAAAGAAAAAAAAGCAAGTGTGACACCTCACTCTTTTTGATGCGCAGTAAAATATTATTACGATGAATATTTTCCTGCTCTTACAGACAGTAATCATTTTTCTTTCAAAATACTTTGTTATTAATTTTGGTTTCTGCTTTCCTTCATTGAGTGAATATACTTCTTATTCAAGTAAAATATTTATGTTACGTATGTTTAAATTGCCGCGTATAATGAATTTAAATGTATTTTTTGAACTATAAACGAAGATCGAATCTTAATTATAAATATTTTGATAACATAATAATTCTGATAGCATAATTGTACCATTAAATTACAAAGCTTCAAAATTCCTGTTGGTTTTAAAGCGCGGCGAATCAAGAAATCAGCGAGCATTGAGGTTCAAATAAAGTTCTTCTTACGCTGATTTGTCAACACTGTATGGACAACTCGAATAATGGGATAAGCAGTTTTCTTTGGTACTGGAATTTATTTTCCTCAGGGAAACCACAACATTTAGGAGGTATATTTTACCAGATAATACTAATTCCTGGTTCACAAAATTATACAACATTGCCCCCCCCCCCCCCATAAAAAAATTAGTAATTAGAGGACAAATCCTCGTAAATTCATCGATAGTTTTTGATGATACTTCAAAAAAGGTTGAAAAATATATCAGTCTAGGAATTCAGCCATGTTAAAATATTATTAAATTAGTATTAAGTATGAATTTTCAAGCTAAATGCAAATTTACCACCTTATGCTAAATGATACAGTCAAATTAACTTCAAATTCGTAATTAGCGACCCAAAGAACCCCTGGAAACATATAAAACATGTCATCATCAGTGATATTCTAATTAATGCCACCTAGATCGGGCCCTGGAACCAATGTGCGCCGCGATTATTTCGCGACAGTGTGAAGATCAGATTCTTTTCAGACCAAAGTTTACTTTCACGGTTCCTGAGTTCCTCAATTCCTTCTGTATTTTACACGACAAAAGAGGAATAATTTAATATTTGTCTTTTCTTCCTTCATCATTCAGCCTTAAAGCCTTCACAGGAATAGACTCAGTCGGCTTTGAATTTTGAATTTATTCATTTATTTTACTCTGTTGCACTGCAATTACTCACCGAAAAAGCCTTTTCAAAACACTAAAACCATCCAGCAAACTAATACTGTTTTCCGTCAAAAAAATGTGTTTGATTTGGTGGTTTGCGAGGTCAGGGAATTCCATCGGTAAGTCAGGGAAAAGTCAGGGAATTTTGAAATAGAATTGGACTCGCTACCCTGCATTGAATATTCACAAACTCGCACAGAACTCATCCAGTTAAAAAATCAACGCTTTTTTTATCGGAGTTGTGAAAGAAAAACCCCTCACACAATTTTCAAGTACTATATTTCCCCTCGTAAACCGCGCCCCACGAGCCGCGCTCTGCGGGTCGATTGTCGAATCTTTATCGAATGACCCCGATGGATGCTATTATAGCAACGCTTTCTATCGATCGAAGTCATTCGATATCGACTCAACAATCCAGGTGCCGGATAACAAGGTTACGAATCAAATCGGGATTTGCGAAATAATTGATGCTGCAACATTGTCTGGCGTGGAGACGCGGCTCTCGTATTGTCGTTGCTCCTCTGACGTAAGGGTGTATGCAGATTTTCACATGAGCCTTAGAGAGCACATATTTATACGGAGTACAGGGGTCACGTAAAAATCGAGATACGCCCTTACGTCAGAGGAGCGGCGTTGTGCAATGACCTCGTGGCGCGCTTCTCGCCCCCGGAGGCGTATTCCCAAGGGGTTGATGCGATGTCGACATGCCATCCCGCGCCGAGCGGTCTGTTCTCCCCGCCGCACAGTGGATCGAGTTAATGGGAGAGGTCAGACGAAATTGGGAAACTTTAAACGCTTATGACTCCGATAAATCAAAGCTTTGAGATTTTAAAAATGGCACCATTGGTTTCCTCGTGAAATTTTCTTGCAAATGCACCTCTCATATTTTAAAATGTGACGAATTAAACATCCAAATTTGCAGTTTTAGTCAAAAATTTCATGTCCGACCTCTATGACCACTGTGCGCCGTCGTCACAGACGATACTGCCGTGCTAGGGAAAACGCCGTATGAGCCCTCAAGCATTGCCAAATCTCCTATGAGAAGTCGTGTATTTTGGGGAAAATATGTTTATATTTTTCCTCCGATTTGTCGGAGTATTTTGTTCGTAATTGGATCTAAAGTATCCGACAATTTCAAAGAAAAATATTCATTAAGTTCTTCAAAAATAAATATTTTCCGAGAGTTAATTTGGCAACATTTGAATGCTCATACGGCGTTTTTCCTTGGTACGGCAGGATATTGGTGCCACGTCGCAGAACCAAACGCAGTATAAAACTTCAGGCGTTGCCAAATCTCTCCAGATAAAGTACGAATTTTTGAGAAAATTTGTGAATTTTTTTACTCAAAATTTTCGAATAATTTTGAATGCTATTTAATCTAAATTATCTGAAAATTTTAAGGGAAAATACGCATAACTTTCCTCTAAAATGCGTATCATTTTCAATCTTTTTTTAAAAATTTGATCCACAAAATTTTTCACAAATATTGCATACAACACATGTTTACAAAGTTTCGCGCGGAGAAGGAAAATCACAGCAGGTTTTAAGAATTGCTGTTAAGTGAAGTCGTGAACACCGTTCCTCAGAATTTTCAGGAACTTAAGGTGACAGTGCGAACAAAATTATCTGAAAAATTGAAAGAAAGTTATTAATAGGTTTACCAAGAGATTCGTGTTTTATCAAAGGAAATTTGGCAACTCCCGAAGGTTCATACGGCATTTT